TTGCAGCCAGATGTAACGTATTTGGAGCCACCGTGTCGTATTGTTGACCGTCGGGATCAAATTCTTCGCAATAAGGTTATACCTTTGGTGCGTGTTCAGTGGAGTCATCACAATGAGGCTAAGTCTACTTAGGAATGGGAGGATGTCATTCGCTCACAGTTTTCTGAAATATTGGAAGAAGGTAAGAGCGTATTCCGAGGACGGAATTCCTTTTGTTAGGGGAATAATGTAATACCCCTAATTTTAAAAGGATAGTCTCGGTAGTTTATTTTATGGTTTTATTGTAATTTTTTGCATTTTTATGGGTTTATTTGGCTATTTGTTTATTTGTTTTAATTGTGGTTAATTAATTAAGTTAATTGCAGTATTTATTTTATTTATTTGTTGTATTTATTTGAATTATTTAATTGAGTATTTGTTTTAATTATTATCTGTCTTAAATATATGTTTACGTGCAAATTTGATTTAATTGTTTTATTGTTTTTATTATTATTTTTTTAGGGTTTTAGGTTCTTCACGTTTAGCCGACTTAGATATAATATGAATGGTTCTTTTCCCATCTCTAAATTAAACTAGAATTAGGGTTTTTAATGAAGCCTATAAATAGAACTATATGCCAAGGGTTTGTAAACCCTGTAGGCGTACACGGAAAGACGAAGAGAAACAGAGAGGAACAGAATACTTTGTTTAGGGTTTAGCTAGGACTAAGGCTAAACCAAGGAAAGATTAAAGGGGTGTGTTCGAGGGTTGAACCAAGGAGAAGACAAAGAGAGAAGACAGAGCATTCCCCGAAAACCTTAGGAAGACGACGCTGAGATTTTGAACCGAAATCTTAAAGGCAAGTTCTATTCCTAACTCTTTCTCTTTGACTCGTGTTCTTTACATGCCTAAAACAACTCCAGCAGTAAATAGACATTAAAGATTAATCTGGTTCGCATGTTAATTTCAATTATAACAGTATGCCTTTACATGAATTGGTGTTTGCTTGTTTGTAAATTTCTTTGCATAATTCATGTTTTAATTGATGTTAATTGATGCATAATGAATTTAATAAATTGTTGGGACTGTCTGGAACCTAGAACAAAGGGTTAGGAACCTTAGCAAGGACAATCAGAAAGTCAGAAAACAGCCGGCGTCGGAGAAGACGAAGGCTGGGAAGAGTGGAGGCGGCTGCACCCTTCAATGGAGGCGGCTCCATTGAAGTGGAGCCGGCTCCACATGATGTAGAGGCGGCTCCAAGGGAGTTGATCCTGTTTTACCTAAAAGTTGAGCCTCTACCTAAGTTGAGCCTCCTCTACCTAAGTTGAGCCTCTTCTGCCTAAAAGTTGAGCCTCCTTTACCTTAAATTGGAGCCTGCTCTACATCTTTTTAGAGCCTGCTCATTTGTGGATTTTCAATTTGTTTTTTTATTTCAGCGATGGATTTTACTCCTATACTTGGATTTTGATGTTCCGGTTTAATTAGAAGCTATACTGGAGGTTCTCAGAGGTGTCCTGAGCTTATTTAAAACTCCCAAGAGCCTTGTTAATGCATAATTAATTACCTTGTATTATAGTTTAAATAGTATAAAATTCTTACACAAATTGGTATACTGTTTTGGATGTAGAGGATTAAAATTGTTCATCATTGTTTTAGCAATTGTTTGAAAATGATTTTATAGTTTAAATCATGTTCCAGTGTTATAAATAAGCATGTGAATTTATATATTCTATTATGCTTACTTGGAATTAGTTGATGTTTACATGTAGGATCTGTATTATCAATTATTGGACAGTGCGGAGTTATATCAAATAAGCCTATTAAATTACAGGATTTTATCATGCTTAATATGGAATAATTGATGTTTATATTTGATATTTTAATTATCAATTATTGGATGTATGGATTAGTTGATATTTACATTCCTTGTTTGTATTATCAACTGTTTGGATGGATGGATTGTATGAACCGGTATGGGACGGTGGCATACTAGGGGGATTAGTTCAAAAATGCTAAGTCCTACCTACTATGGAATTAAGGAATGGATTAAATAAAAGTTAAATCCTATTGATTCGTAGTGTCAAGGCAACGAATGGTTGAGCGACACTACTATGGATTCTGGTTGGATTTTAAATATATTGTTATGGTACCTCGATATGAGCTTGAGTCTCAGGATCGATGGTTAGGGCATATATATGCATTGGGATGCATAGTTGGCTATGATGGTTGGAGGTGTACCCTGCTAGGCTTTGGTATACATGCCCACTTCAGGTGCGTTTTGCATGTTGCCTCTATTCAGGTTGAGACCGGCCTATAATCCACTGAGAGTCCTTTAGTGTGAATATATATATATATATATATATATATATATATATATATTTACGGACTATATAGTTATTGTTGAGTTAGTTAGGATGTACATGCGTATTGATTCTCTGCTTGGATTGTAGTAGGATAGAACTTGTTCGTGGGCTTAACTCACTTCTATTTTTTTCAGGTGTTCGACAGCTCTAGTCGTAGGATTGACCGTGCTGAGCAGAGACTATCACTCACTCTTCTGACGACGTAGGTGGTGTATGCTCGGAGGTCGTACCCCGAGAAGTTTATATAGAATGTGGCCAAGTTTTACATTTAGAAATCGCTATTACTACCTTTCACTAAAAATATAGCTAGGGTGAGTAGGGATCATCCCAAGGGATTGAGTGTCGTACTAGGTTGAGGGATCAAAAATAGAGTTAGTAGGTCGAGTGATCAAAATAGTGGTTGGTTGGTTGAATTAAACTCGATGCAAATTAAACTAAGGTAAACAATAATGCAATAGAGAGAATAAAAGAGAGAGAGAGATCTAAGGGTTTAGAGATCACCACTAAGCATAGTTTTTCTACACCTTTAATGAATGACTAATGAGGGGAAGAACATGTATTGCAACAAAGTATGTGTGTGTGGTTGTTTCAACAAGCATGGATGAAAAATTAAGCATATATTGTCTAAATAACATGGTGGATAGCACAACATATCAAATTAACCCATTAATCATTTCTTTAAGCTCACAATCCAAACACATCATAAGGTTAGAGATACATGTTACTTGCTTTTCATAAGTATGGAACATCAACAACAAGCATGGATTGTCCTCCCATTTAACAACTACTCTACAACTAAGCTAATGACATGAAATTAAACTAAGGAAGAGGTACAATCCATCAACAAATGAGTATGAACCATCAATAAATCATAAGAACATGACATTAAGCACTATGTCTTGACAATCTCTAGATTTATAGCATCAACACACATAAACATGCATCAATAACACAAGAAATAGAGACAAACACATGAACATCTATTCTAGCATACATAGACATATGGATAGAGTGAAATGATCAATTGGAAGCATTAAACCACATAGATCATTGAATAAACAAGATCTATATATATATAAGTGCCAAAACATGAATCACAATACAAATCCCCTCAAAAATACATAAATCAAGAAGTAGAAAGCATGCTTAAGGCTAACTCTAGCCCCAAGAGGATGTCTAGCCACTCATGGATGATGTCCTCCAACCCTCAAGGGCAAGCTCCATGGAAGAAATCTGCTCCTTGGTTGATGAAGAGTCTCCAATGGTGTCTCTAGCCTCCTCCTCTTCTTTTTTTCCTCCCTAAGAGTTTTACAAGGTATGATATGATATGATGTGATACAATACAAAAAGTAATCATTAATCTTATATAGGTAGGTGAAATGGCACCCAGAATGAGCTGGGGTCGTACAACAAATATTCCCTAATGATTGGATAAAGGATAACTTTTTGTGAACTGGAAATTTAACTTTTTCACACTGGAGGAAGTTTGATCGATCAAACCTTGGACTTGGATCGATCAAACATGGTTGAGATCTATCAAAATTAGGCTGGATCGATCCTCAATGGCGGCGCCTTTTTGAATAAAAACAAATCTGAGATATTTTGAAGATATTTTTAGAAAAAAGGACAAAAGTGGTTGGTAGGGTGGTATTACTGGATAAGATCGATCATTTGGATAAGGACAAGAATGTTCGATCGATCGGAGAAGGAAGTTGGATTGATCAAACTTTTGAGATCTTTGAACTGGGACCAACATGGCTCAGATCCATCTTGAAGTGCTGAGATCGATAAAAGTTGGATCGATTGAAAGTTTCTTGAGATCGATCGAAGTTGCTGAAATTCCACCATTTGCTTCCTTTTACTCTACTTTGCTTCTTTCTTTAATTCATCCCAGAATTGCTTCAATTATGCTCTTATTTGGCTGAGTTAGCTTGTTTTGGGGATAAGTACCTGAAAATGGAAATAACACGAAATCAATACAAAATGGTAAAATAAGATAGATAAAGGTTCTAGAATACCTAAACTTAAGGAGTTTAAATACGCACTTTTCAGCGCTCATCACACCCCCGAACTTAAATATTGCTAGTCCCTAGCAATGAACTAGAAAGTAAAGGAATGAAATGAACAACTATATAACTATGAACTAGAAAGCAATAAATGGATAACGCCACTGTCGTATGGAACACGATTGCACTTAGCATATGCAACAAGCCTTTTAAAACCCCTAGGTTACCCCCAGTGGACGAGTGAAGTCTCGTGAGGGTTTCCAGAAATGATACCGACAAACATTAAGCTCATTTTTTCAAAAGAGGTACCAATATTGCAAACAAGCATTGGGAGAAAACTACCTCAAGTATGCAATGTTTCAAACATTTCTAAGCAATCTCCCAAAATCTCAACATTAAGGGCCTCTTTGTTAGGTGTTTTACTTTGGTGTTTTTGTTGCAGGGCTCCACTTCAGGCCCAAAAACATGTTTGGTAGCACTTGTTTTGTTTTAAACAATATAAAAATATTGTTTTAAACAGTACTCAATTTGGGCCCAAAAGTGAAACACCGAAATGGTGTTTTTTGTTGTTTCTAAACTGTAACCCAATAAAAAGCACTGTAGTGGTTGAAGTAAGTTGGGTCTAACACTGTAGCGGAGGAAGTAACTTTAAACCGCGTTTGCAACATGTGGCCCGATCTTTTCTCTCTCTTCCGAAACCCTAGAGAAGGCAATTTGGGAGGCGATTTGGGAGGCGACGAAGATTTGGGAGGCGACGAAAAGGAATCGGTAAGTACTCTCTCTTCTATTTCTCTCCTGTTTAAAGACCTTTCCTTTGTTGTTTCCTTTGATGTTGCTTTACTTCCAAATCTGCAAGCACGAAGTCGTTAAAGCTCAGATTTGATTCTGGTTTGGTTTGTTCACAAGTGACTTAGCAAGTGGTGTGGAACATCTATTCCTTTAAGATCGTAACTGTTTTAACATTAGAAATGAGTGGGGGTATCATCAGTATGCATAATATTGTTGGATCATGCATTCAATGTGCAAAGAAAACAGATCCTAGTAGCTCGTAATGAGTGGGGGTATCATTAGTTGGAGGGTTGACTTTAATGCTTACTCCATAGGATCTGTTTTCTTTGCACACTGAATGTATGGTCCGTTAAAAAAAAAAAAATGCTAGGACGGATTTAATTGCATTTGAAGCATATTTTTTTTATAACCTATTTAAATAGGTAGCTTTTGGTTGAATTTTTGGCTATTTTGATTCAGGTGTGTGTATTTATATATAAATACAAATGGTTTGCGTGCAATCTATGTTTAGGCATTGTGAAGTATAATATTATTAGGGGTTTATTTATTTTGTTTAAAATTATGTTTGCAATAATACTCTGACGAAATGCAAGGGTGTGATTTAAGGAAAGTTTGTTCTTTTATTGCAGGGGATAATTGACTCTGCACTGAATCCAGTAACATACAAGATTGGTACTGATCATTATCTTTCAATGCAGTTTCATTTTAATTTTCTACTGTAATTATCTAGATATCTATGCTTTTATGCTTTAATTGTCCTGTGACTATATTTTTATTTGCCTCTCATAATTCTTTTTATTTATTTGTTTTTTGTTTCAGTGAAATTCTGTTTCCAGACATAATATCTTTTGATTTAGGTAATCTTTGCCATCCTTGTATATCTGATATTGTTTCAGCTAATTGATTAATTGATGAGCTTCTGATTGTATGTTTATCTTGTTTGGAACCATTATTGAGTTTGACCTACTCTTCTATATCTTTTGCGTGTGTCCATGATAGTTTGCCACTATTGTTTCTGTTGTACTCGTGTGGAAATCAAACAACCTCTTAAGCTTCTTTTGGATTTCTTGTCTGGTTGCTGAGAATTTCACATCTCCTTGGTATTCCTCTTTTGTGGTGTCTTGGATCTGCACTTCTGTACACAAAATATATGTTTCCATTTTGACTTCCCTATCAATTGATCGATCGATCGTTCCATCTGATATTATCAGAGAAGAGCAAGCAACGTGTATGGCGTCCTCTTCTCTCCTCAGATCTACAGCCCCTGTTCTCCGAGCCTCAGGAGTTTCTTCACTCCTGCCATCTGACGGAACAAGCAAGGTTGTTTTCCCTCCGAGTGTTTGATAACAAAAAAATTCAATCCAACTTCTATTTTTTATTTATTTTTATATAATTTGTTTTTCTGATCATGTCAAGCTGCATATATATATATATTGTTGATTTTGGTTTTTGATTATTTGTTGTTGTAAGAGATGGATCTTTGACTTTCTAAGTACCTTTATGATTTTTTTTTTTGGAATTAATTTGATTGTTGATATATAGTAGCTTTCTTTGGTTTCATTTGATTTCAGATAAAATTATAGTTGTAATGAATTTGATCTCCATTTTTTAATTTGATTAGCGATGTGTAGTTGCTTTATTTGGTTTCATTTGATTGCGAAGAAAAATATAGTTGAAGCTTGTAATAAATTTGATCTCCACTTTCCTAAAATTACCCTGCTATTGATTTTAGAGATTTTCTCCAGATCTCTATTTTTAGCATTTATCAGAACAATATCCATAGCAAATGCTATAGACTATGCACTCATTGTGTGTGTGAAAAACAAGAAAAAATCCTCTGGCATTAATCCAGATTGAAAAACAAGAAAAAATCCTCTGGCATTAATCTGTGTGTGCAATGTTTGTGGAATATGAACTTAAACCACTTCCACATGTATGAGTGAGTGAGTGAATATTGTAGAGATGTTACTGAACTTACTGGCATATGAACTTGAAGCAACACTTGCTATCATATTAACTGAATTTCAATCACAAGGAACCAAATTATTCAAGAGCTACTTAGCATAATACCAATAATATAAAAATTTACAAAGTCACTTAGCACGCCTTTGTGTTTCAACTCAACTCAACTCAACCATCTTAACAAAGAAATGAACTTTGACATAAGAGAAGAATATACTGAGGCACCTCAACACTGCACCAAGCAAAGTTCCAATTCATTTCTTTTTTTTCCCGAACAATAAAAGAATTCAGTTGTTAAACAGAAAGTGATTACAACCATAGAAATATATGTTTGTGTGTTCAAATTTCATAAGAACACAGTAAAAAGATGGAACTCTATATGTCAAATTATATATATATATATATATGTTTGTGTGTTCAAATTTCAATATATTTATTAAAAATATATAGACTATTTATATAGAAATAAATTTATAAATATATTTAAAATTTATAAAAATAAATTAAAAACAATGATAACCAAACATGTTTTTTGTTTCTGTTTTTTTTTTTTTTTTACAACAGTTAGAGTTACCAAACATGTTTTGTTTTTAAAATTCTTGAAACGCATGGCTTACCAAACATGTTTTTCATGTTTTTGCTTCTGACATTTTTACAACAAAACATCTTTCCCAAACGTACTTCTGATTTTTGCCAAAACACTCCAATAGTAAAAATATTGTTTCTGTTTTAGACAAAAATAAAACGTCTAAAGTAAAACGCATGCCAAACGGGCCCTAAGCAAACAAGTATGGTCCTCCACACATCAAGAAAATGACATGCAAATCAAAATAACTCTAGAATCCTTTTTGAGTGGACCGGCATCAAATATGTTATTATCTAAGCCAACTAGAGAATTAATCACATCCTTACCCTCAAACTAGCACACAAATCTAGTACCGATTATCAAGACAAAAAGTGAACCTTTTATTAAAGTTTTATTGTTCTAGGTGCGCTTATTCTTTTTACTCAATTTTTTTTTTTTTTTTTTTTTATTTTTTATAGGATCAAAGATGGAAGTATAGTGCAATGTGTTGATCTATTAAGCTTTCTAGCGATTCATAAGGTCGAGCATTAGGTTAATGACTCCCAAACCAGATGGCTTTAGGGCATTAGGTGTTCAAACACCCCTACAGACTTACAAGCTCAAATCAACTAGGTTACAAATCAAGACAACCTCCATCTAATCATTTCCCACTTCTCACCTTTTGGGAGAAGTCCTCACTTTTTTATTTACTGCTTTTGCAACTTTTTCTCTTCTTTTTTTTTTTTTTTTCAAGTTCAATTATTAACCTAGAGTTTGGGCCCTCTACCTTTCGGCGTGAGAAATTCAGTGCTTGATGAGGCTAGAATCCCGGCTACTTAGTGAAAAGGGGTTGTTATCCACCTTTATCAAGAATGAAAGCTTTCAATGCACTATTAGTCCAATTGGGATATAACCAATTTAATAATCAACAAAGCATGTATCCCACAAATGAATGCTAATGTGCGCCTGTGCTAGTGTAGAATCCTAGAGTGAATCTCAAAACAATCACAAAATCAGGATGATGTGGACCACAAGTGCAAGCAAGATATCAATTTTTCGAAAAATTTACTCCTACATGGCATCCATAAGGCATATAAGGAGTATTGAACTCTCAAGTCATGCAATTTTTAAATTTTAAGCAATATAGTCTTCAAAAGATCAAAATCATAGCTAGTCATGAACCAATCATAGAAAATCTCTCAAATACATAAGACATGCTCAAAATTTTGAATTTAAAAACAAACACTGCAAAGCGCCATTACCCCCAAACTTAAATGGCACAATGTCCTTAATGTGCAAAGAGAACAAAAAGAAAGAGTATACCAGTACAATGAAGGCAAAGAATGGCTAGGACAAAAGTATCCAAAGTGGGTGGCATAGGCCCCCCAAACTTGGGATTAACTGTGGTCCTGAAATTTGGCACTTGGATAAAACTCATCAGATAACAAAAGGGATAATAACAGTGCACAGTGGTCATGCAAGTGTAAATGGGATAGCAACTGAAAATAGAGAGAGGTATAAGGGTGGTCCTGAAAATTTTGAGCAGTACTCTCTCTCACTAAAATCACTGAGATGCACCTGATGGAGTCAAACAGACAGATATAAGAATATAAGAATATGACATCCATAAAGAAAACATATATATAAAGCAAGATAAAGTGCATAGTACATCATAAAATCAAAGCCGACAGACCGGCTGCAAAAATAGTATATAGTAACAAAAATGTAACAAGTATCATGAATATCAAAGATAATAAGGAAGAAGAACTAGGAATCTCAGGTGGATAAGGCAAGACGGGCAGGTCACGCTCCGCGGATGTCTCGGGATAGATCACGAAATGTGGCTATGACATCCGTGCAGAGGGAAGCAATGTCAGCTCTGAGAGCAACAGTCTCTGCATGGATAGATACCACTATGTCCTCCAGAGTGTGAAGACGCTCTCCAAAACTGAGTGTCTGAGCTGGAGCCTCAAGTGTGGCTGGATCGGAAGAATGATGATCCTGAGCTTGCTCCGCATCGTGAATAGGTAACCCAGCTGCAGCGTGCTGCTCTGCGTCCTCGGCAGACTGCTCTAAATCAATGTCCATGTGTACGGCAGTCGGATCGACTGCTGCGTCGTCCTCTACCGGGTCTGCTGCTTCTGCTGCCTCCTCAATCTCTAGCTCATCTGCTGCCTCTGCTGTATCCTCCTGTAGTTTCTTGATAATAGCATTGTAGCTCTTATTCCAGTCTTTCTTCAGGAAGTGATAGGATCCTCTCTCAGGGTGCTCCCGTGGATGGAAAGGATAGCACTGGTCTAGAAAGATCTGGGTGATAAGGTGGCCAAATGGGAGAGACTTAGCCCTTTTGGGCCTCTTCTTGCTAATGTGCTCATCATAGAGCTTCCGTATCACGCTCCAAATGAGCGCAGGGATAGAAAGCCAATGTGCACTGAACTCATCATAAGTCAAAGCCATCCTCTCCTCTATGGTGATAACTGACTCCCACCACTGTAGTGCATCCCCAACTAGCTTGAATGTAGCAAGCATCTGCTTCTGAACCTCCGTGCACTGAACCAAGCGAAGATGTCGCTCGATGTCCTGTTTCCACTGGTAAGCTGCTCTCGCATCGGTGGAGCCTATAAACTCAGGTGGACTCCCTTTGTGAAAGAGCTCCTAGCCTTTTCCCAAGAATCCGTCTGAACAACCGGTGCTGGTAACAGTGTCGACTGTACCTGAGGCTCATTTCGAAGTACAGCTGTTACCCCAGCCTCTATAGCCCGCACAACAAGGTCATTGAGGTGTGGAGGAATCTCGGGATTTCTAACCTGATCCTGAGTCTGTTGAACTTTCTCCTGCTCCACCTGAAACTGACCCATGTTATCCTGAAATCCAGGCATTTGCTGCTCTTCCTCCCTCTGCAGACGCCATAGGAGATACTGTTGCCTACATGCCGCTCTCCTTTCTTTCCTAGATCCTCGCATGTTTTGTCCATTAACCATCTGTTAATATGGAAAGACAGACATTAGTACCATTTCTAAACAAACCGTAAGGAATACAATGAATCCTAAACTTAAGCTCTAATTAAGAGAAAACGCTACGCGGAAGACTTAATATGAAACATCCTAGAGACACTTGAACCTGGAGTGCTTTGATACCAACTGTGATACCCCTCGGATCCGAGACACGGGTTGAGCAGGCCCAGGCCCAAACCCGAGGGATATCAAACAATTAATACATTATAACGAACACAGATTATAAAAGAAATAAGAATTAAGTTTTAAAAGCTGGAAGAAACTAAAACATAAAATCCTTTAATAATTAAATACTTAAATCTGATAATCCAAAACTCCATAATTTAAACAACTCGGGAATCCATCTCCAGTGGACCCCTAATAAAATCCCAAACTGAAATGAAAGTAAAGCTGAAGATAAAACCCAAATCTATTATCTGAAAAGAAGTCCTACATCGTTGGTAGAGTGGAAGATCGTCTCTGCTTAGCATGAACAAGCTCAAGCCTGGAACTGACGTACACCTGAAAAATAGAAGTGGCTCAGGCCCACGAACAAGTTCCATCCTACTACAATCCAAGCAGAGACTTGATACGCATGTACATACTAAATAGTTCAACAATAACTAATACTCCATACATAAATATATCCACATTACTGGACTCTCGCTAGACTATGAAGAGGGTCTCAACCTAGATAGAATGTATCACACAATACGCACCTGAGTGGGCATTAGTACCTAAACCTAAACAGGGTATACCTCAACCCTCACAGTCAGCTACACATCCAATTGCATATACGCACCCTAACCGTCGACACTGAGACTCAAGCTCATGACACGGTATCATAAAAATATATCTAAACTCCATTCCTAACCATCCACAAGAAATCCAGTAAGTCATTTGGCGCATTCAACCGTACCGACTCATAAATGTAAGGAAGGTTTTATTTAATAACCCATACATTACTCCAAGATAGGTAGGACTTTAGTAATATGCTGTCCTAACCTAGTATGACACCGTCCCATACCGATGCATACAATTCCATCCATCCAACAGTTGATAAGGCATTGACAATTAAATAACAATATCAACAA